AGACAAAACTTTTTTTCATTTCGGGTAGTAGCTGCGTGGAATGACCTTCCTCCGACGGTTGTACACGCTCCTTCTCGAACCCAATTTAAAGCACTATTAGACATTTATTTATGCGAATCCTCGCGCTGGCGAGCATACTGCCCCGCGCTGAGAACATAAAGAGCAGTGCTACACCCTTTTTCACTTGTGCCTTTCAGGTGAACGACAGCCACTGACTGACAAGAACAAAACCGACCCGGGAAACTTGGGCAAAAGCCTCGATCCTGTGCATCAATCCGTGAATCCGTGAATGTCTTGATTGGTCAGAAAATAGACCATTCAGAACTGGGTATTGATCCGGCGTTTCTCGGTTCTCCACTAAGGTTCTGTCTCAATAGCCTCGGCATCCCAGCCGGCCGAGGCGATTGGCCAAGCTTCTTGGATCGGGTTAGTTCATGTTATTTAGCGGCATAGATTAACCTGAAAGGCGAAAAACCATGTAGGACCGCATGTTTGGGTATAAAGCTCACCAAGGTGTCCAAGGTGCCGCGTCCCGAATTAACCCTTCCACGCATCCACTACCCTAAGTGAGAAAAAGTTTGCGTTCTGAACTTAGAGTGTCTCCCATCGAATGTCACCCTATACAGGAAATGTCTACGGTAAACCTTCCTTAAGACAGTAACAGGTCGCCTCGGATCCGAGGGGCGATCATATTCTAGGTGGGAGATCCCCCAACTTAACCTCGAGGTTAAGGGTTACAATATCACGGATTGATACACAGGATCGAGGGTTTTGTTTTGCCCAACCGGGTCGGTTTTGTTCTTGTCGTTCACGTGAAAAGCTCAAGTGGAGAAAAGGGTGCCCTTTATAAAGAGCAGCGGAACAGAACATTTCTCCGCGCGGGGCAGTATGCTTGCCAGCGCGAGGATTCAAATAAATAAATGTCTAGTAGTGTTTTGAACTGGGTTCTAGAAGGAGCGTGGACAACCGCCAGAGGAAGGTTATTCCGCGCAGCTACTACCCAAAATGAGAAAAAATCTTGTCTGGTGAATGTGTGCGCTCTGGGCTTGAAAATCTTCTTACTATGTCCTCGCCGTGTGTTTGCTGGGTCAGCGGTGAAAAACCTGTTGGTCAAGCTTTGTTCAAGCAGAGCGTAAGTAAGAAAGCGACGACACTCGAGGGGAAGGAGGTCAAGCATCGCGAGACGCGTTTCGTAATTCACGGATTGGAGGCCCGCAATCATTCTCGTAGCGGCTCGCTGGACACGCGCAATGAGGGTGACGTCTTTCGTGCGTCCTGAGTAGACAAATTGATTGGCGTATTCCATGAGCGGTCTGACGTAGACCCCATGAAGTATTTGGAAGTCCATGCGAGTAATACCGCAGGAGGTGCGTCGGATCATCCGTAAAACGGCGAATGCCTTTTGGGCCGATTTCTCATGGTGCAATGAGAAGGGCAAGTTTGAGGAGACCCAGATGTCCAAATCCTTTTTTGCTTCTATCTTCATGATGTTTTTTGGTCCTTTCTTACCATGCGTAACAAAGGCATTCGTTGAGTCTCCTCCAAATGACATATGGACGCACTTTTCGTCAGTCCAACGACCACTGCTTTTCAGCATCTACACCCATTTGTAGGGCACTGCCTTTGGAACTCCAGGATTTCAAGTTGTCCGCAAAAAGTAGACATGGACTCGTAAGAACATCTGGTAGGTCGTTGACGTAGATCAGAAACAGCAGCGGTTCCAGGACAGAGTCTTGAAGAACTCCAATGGAGACCGGCGCTGGAGAAGAGCAGTTCGAGCCTATTCTCACTCGGAATGATCTATCTGATAGGAACGCCTTGACCGAGTGAAGGATTTTCCCCTGAATCCCGTAAGACTCGAGTTTGTGGAGCAGCGGGACGTGTGAGACCCGATCAAATGCTTTTGAGAAGTTGAAGAATATGGCATCCGATATGAGTCCTTCGTCCTTGGCTTGGGTTAAGCTGTCCATAAACACGAGCATGTTTGTCACGCAAGAGCGGT